ATAAACCAATTATGTGAATACATGCATGAATGAGATCTTGGAGGAGTGTGTACATCAGCTGCACAGCCAAAAAAAAAAAAAAAGAGAGATTAAAATGAGAACCTGAATAAGTGCTGTCAGTATGAAATGGGTAAGAGTTGAGAGAAATATGGGTTAAGCATATGCATCTGAAGATTTGAGATAGGGAGAGAATAAATTATATTCTCATCGAACAGGGATACACTTGGCTTTGAAAGACAGAAGTCAGCTCTTTAAATGTATGTTTCTAACCGATATGTTAAAGACAATTTTTCTCATTGTGTAATGAGGTACTGTTGATTTAAGCTAAGCTATAAACTTTATATTTTGTTATAGAGATGACGTGGAAGCACTAGATAACATACATAATATGAGGACCAATAAACAGATCAAAAGAAACTCCAGCAGAGAGAGGTTCTTTGTTTGTGTTTTTTTTTTTTTTAATGTTTTTGTTCTGTTTTTATTATCATATATGTGCAAACAAAAGAGAAAAGATATATTATCAGGGTGATTGCTATGGGTGAACTTGAAGACAAGAAAAAAATATGAACAGAGATAACACAGTGAAATAAATCCCATATTAACCATATTAAAACTTCTTGTTTGTTTTGTTAAAAGATTTGACCAGATAATGTTAGTGTACAACAGTATTATAAGAATAACACTGCCACTCGGTTGTACAATCTCAAATCCACCTGCTCACTCAGGGTTTTAACCCTGCTATTAATCCATGAAGATGGACTAGAGCAAGATTAAACTTTTTGGATAGCTTCATTAGCCAGATATTGCTAGTCCAAATTCCAAACCAGCCTGTGCAAAATGGAGACCCGTGCCTACAACCATCAGATGATTGCTTGTATTTTATTTTAATCACATGTAACTTCATAGATTGATTAGAAATGGGGGTCAGTTCTGTATGTAAACATCTTCAGGACACAAAGTGACAAAAATATGTGTATTTTTAGTGTAATCTCCGTGAATAGATGCAATTAGAAATGTGACATGACAAAGAAATGACAGTCAAACACCATCATGTAAAGGCAATTGTTTGATAGCTTTAAACTACTGTCTTTAAGTATATGCTAAACTATTGACATGGATGCTTTACTTGACATCCTGCCTTTACTGGATTTGTCAGCTAGGTGGCTTTCCAGAAATTACGGTATGTTAGGATAACAAGGAGATTACTGTGATGGGAATCCCTCCTATGGTATCTTCCCACCACTACAGTCATTTTCAAATAGGGCTTTCCCTTTTGCAGTTGTCATTTTAATTTTTAGAATGATTATGTTAATGGCACGAATTGTATTGGATAGAAAAATGAAATGCTCAGCAAAATTAATAATGGCAATACACCGAAGCAGTGATTACATGCCAGCCACAGGCTGCCATCACAAGTCAGGACCACGTATAGGACAGAGCAGATGACTACTCCTAGAAGAGCCTTTGCTTGGTGCTGATCGGGAGCCTTTAGCCAGAAAGGTGCTTAAAATATCCTTTCTGCTCCTGTGAACGACAGCCAGTGGTAGGTTTGCAGACCAGCAGAAGTGGAAGATTTGGTTCCTCATAATAACACTACGTATGTAACGTTAGAAATAATGCCTGCCATAGGACTGGTGGCAGGGAACCAAGTTTTATGGGCTGTCTCTGCAGAAATTTCTCCTGGAATCACAGAGCGCTTCTCCAGGCTTCCTTGCCTTTCCGAATATTAAGTTTGTGATGCAAGAGGACAGATTTTGTAAAAATTTGCCTTCAGTTGGAGAAACAGATGGTGGGGCCAAATTCCTGTCTACCAGAATGGAAAGGGCATGCTGGTAGGAAATGGCATTACAAAGCATATAGTCAGAGAAATGGAAACAAAACTGCAGTGTCCTAGGCATCGGAACAGTCCAGATACCGTCAGTGAAAGGACAAGATTGGCTCAGTGATGTGCATCGCAGAACAGCAGCACAACAGCCCTACTGTAGCTCATTTCTGTGAACACAGAGAACTAACACAGTAAGAGCCCGTACCACAAGGCAATGGTGCTGTGTTAGTGGCTTAAGGACAACATAACATCTTTCAGAACATACAAAAAAATACCCCTGTGAAGCAGGCTGACCTTGAAAAGACTGCTAGTGAAGGGTAAGGAAGCCTGACTTGTGAGCCTTCTCAGGAAACTGGTTTAAAAAACTATCTAGAGAACCTCATCATTCCTAAAGTGTGCAACACCTACTGCTGGTTTGGGGCAGCCCCATGAACCATTGCAGGTGAAGACGATAGCTATAGACATTGGACTACATTGTGTGGCTGTTCGCTCAACACATTTATTGCACAGAATTGTTCACACCATAGTTTGCAAGAGCCTGATCTCTCTAAATTAGCCCCAGCAATCTTAGCTTATCGTGTAACAGTGGAGCTAATGATCCCAGTAAAACTGAAGGGCCACCTTAGCCTCCTGTGTCAAGGCCTGATCCTACCCTGCAATCCAAATAGTCATCTCAGGAAACTGCAACAACAGCTTAAATGGATAAATGCCCCCAAATAAAGCTGCTCATATGTTTTAAATCTCCTGCCTGCATTTTTCTTTCTTTACCTTAACTCGCTTGTTTGTGGAGCTAGAGCGTTTACCATAGGATAAAGTGCAGAGTCCCTGTAAGATGAGACCAACCTGAATATATCGTGGGTTAGGCAAAATAGCAATGCACCTAGCACTCTGTACAGGGCTATAATAAACCTAAACTCTTTTCTGTGTTTGTTTACAGGGTACAACAACAGATTATCTATATACCCTTTTTTTTTTTTTTTTTTTTTTTTTTTTTAATTTGGTGTGCAGTTTTCCCAAAACATTGGCCAGATCATTTTGAAATGTCCATGAAATGTTCTTTTTAAGCAAACAGGGTTCCAAGCTGGAATTCAGTCCTCACTTACCTGTATAAGTTGCAAGAGACAAAGGTGTCGCAGGACTGCTGCAAATTCCATTCTGTGCCTTCGAGCAATCTTACACCAGCAAGATAAGCAGTTTATTTGACCATTCAATTCAAAGCCTTTTCCGATCGCAATGAATCGACAATATCCTTCTGTAATATGCAAGTTTGCAATCGGAATTTTTAGTGAAAGGCTCTTTTGTTCTGCCTTTACTATTCTTAAAATTTTGTTCTGTTGAATGTGTTTATTTGTCAATTTATTTCACACACGGGCTGAGAGTCCTAACTAGGGATGAAACAAAGGTTCTGAGTTTTGTGTCATTTCAAAGTATAAAGTGTTGAGTTTGTCCTTTTTACAGTGAAGAGGATGTCAAAATAGTCAATTTAGAGACTATGTTTAATTGGAAGGTCTGGGTTTGACTTTAGTGTTTTTACCTTGGGTTTTAATTCTCTAATATTTCAATTCCTTTATATTTTTATTTTAACGCCCTGATAATGTCATTTCTCTGTGTATGTCTTGCCATTGTTTAGATTATAATATTTAATACAAAGACATTATTTCTACTCCCAGTATGTCATTCTTTATGAAACTTACATAAACTGTATGTATATTTAGACTTAATTCAGCCCTTATATAACTTCACATATCTCCCACAGAGCTGAAGTTACTACTCAGGTCTATTTATGCAAAACTGAATTTGATCCACAGTTTTCTTTGTAAATAAGGAAAAGAACAATAAGGATATTTGGTCTGTAGTCATGACCTAGGTCATTTGTCATACAGAATTTATTGGAACTATTTCTTTGCTTATATTACACGTTCATGTTGATGAATTACTTAGCAACTCAAGTATTTGTGTTTTCTTGATAAGACTCCTGAGTGCTCAGATTTTTTGCTGGATGAATGGTATTTAATCAGAACCCGAGATCCTTAGGTTACCAGCCTGATTGCTGTCCCCAGTTTTATAGGTCTCAGATCAAATAAGAAGGATAAGTGGAGGCATAAAATGAGTGACAATAGTTGGATTTTTAGGCATTGGAAGAGAGATACACACTCTGCTAAGAAAATTCAGCTTTATTATCAGTGGGCATCTCACAGTCAAATTTTCTTCTTCCCTCATTTTTGATGGCAATTTATCCTTTTGAATGAATACCTGTTCTCCCCCTGATTCATACAGGTATTTTCTATGCTTTCCCAAAGTATCCACTTATATCCATTTATTATCTGCATAGTTGTGCAATTGTTTTGTATTTTGTGACTGAACTTTGTTTATTTATGTTGACAGGAAAAAGGTTCAACAAAAGGGGAGGAAGACTATGTAAACAAAGAGAAAAATAACAGATTCGTGAGAATTCATATACTGCAGTCTATAAAAACATGACATTCCTTTCAAACTAGATGTTAAAGTTGAAATGAGTAGGTGGCATGACACAGAAAACCATAGTCATCTGTTAGGTCAGCAAGACAGGGTTCTGAAAAGTCCCATTATTACTTCAGATTTCCTCTGAAAACCTGACACAGAGTGGGAAATATCTTTTTGTATTTTCCTAATTTCCTAAGTAATAAGACTCAGCAGTTATTATGCTTCCCTGCCCTGATGGATTTCTATTAGCAGGGCAATATCAGATAAAATAGAAATGGCAGAGCCTAAAATCACAAAAGGCTTGAGAGACTGTGTGGTCACTGATGACATGAAGGCACAGTGATACGTAAGAGAAGAAAACAGTCTGATCAATGAACTGTTCGAATGCCTTGTCTTACTATGGCCTAGGCTGCTTCCTAAATGCTTTTGAGAAGGCCACATCTTCCCCAATGCTAAAAGAGAGAAAGGAAAAAATGCTTGTGGCCTTCAAGAAAATCTGAGGAGTGGCCTTATGACCTGTTTGGTACCTCACGGTACTCGGTAATCAGACTGGAAGGGGGAAAAAAAGTCTTTTGAAGATTCTACAGCAAATGGTTTTCTTCACTTTGTTATTTCCTTTATCTTCATGGTGCTTCCCTTCCAGATTGTTTATTCAGCTTTTAGCAAATATGATAGAAACTATCCAAAAATACAGAGATTAGAAATCACCAAATACTCGTGCAATAATTCACTCAAGCTAATATAAATAAGTAGAAAGAAATGGTAGGATACAGGCAAATGAACTGACTAATGTAATGCACCCTGATCCTAGAAAAAGACACTATGCAAGCATTTAAGCACTGTACAGATTTTCCTAATGAGACAGGCAAGAGTTATAGTCATTTCAGGGGTACAGAAATTCACCTTATTTGAATTTCTCAAGTATCCAGTTGGTTACAATGCTGCAAATAGAAATGTAAGCACAGAACTTTGACAAACCTCATGATCTTGAAAATGAGAGGATATTTTTGAGGCTGTTGCCAGTACAGAAAATAAGTCACAAGGATATATTTGAAGCAAATGATCGCTTCTCAAGTTCAAGCTTTTTGCTGTCAGCCTCACTCAGAGGTAGGTGGTTTCTCCTCTATGTCCAGAAAATGGCTAAAAATTAGTTGGTAAATACAGTGGTTGACAGTACAGAAGAAAGTAATATAATAGCTTATTTCAGGTAACTGGATGCAAACTGGGTCTTGGAATGTCCTTGGTACATCTTGTGAGTCTTGTTAAAAAGTAAAGAAAATGAAACTGGAAACAGAAGCCAAGCAGCAGGGTGAATCAGACTGGAAAAGGAGGAGGTTGGTGTGCAGAGGAGGTGACAAGTCAAGCTGAGTAAGAAGAGGACACTGTGCCCAACTTGAGGCTGAGAGCAGATCCCTGAGGTTCCCAAATCTGTGCTGGCATCAAACCTCTTTGAAAGGCATTGGCCCTGTCCCAAATGAACCCGGTGACACTGAGGATAATGGACTCTCCCTAACTGAATTGACAGTGAGCAAATATAACCTTGTGCTTATAGGGGAAGACATAAATGCCTGTTCTTTATAATGTTGTGGGTTTTGTTGTTGTTGTTTTGTTTTGTTTTTATATTTGTGTGTGTGTGTGGGGGGGGGTGACTACATAAAAAAATCTCTTTGCTAAGAGTATTATTGCAAAATAGAAAGTCCCTGCATCCTTTTCCTGCCCCCTTCATGTGTAGGCCCTGTAACAGACTTGTTAAATGACACTTGAATTTGGGCTGTAAATGAGAGTCATAGCTGAGCCAAGTATCCTGATCTTATTTGCTGCTGAGGCTGGAAGGGATTACATGAGATCACAGACTGCAGGCAGAAAACACGGAGTTATGAGTTTAAGGTTGCCAATACTGTCCAATTGAACAGGATTATGTCTCTGTCTCTACTATGTCATGCGATTTTGTAAAACTACTCACCACACGTGGTGTGTCCCCTAGGTTTAAGGCACCCAGGCAGCAAATTTGACCAGGGGTGGTCAAATTTGTAGGAGTGTCTGGTATTTAAAGCCACAGCTGAAGTCAGTGATAGTTGTCTCTTCAGCAGAAGGAAAGCAATATAAAGCTAACAACCCTCAAAAATCAGTTTGCTGGTGTTTCAAATTGGCTGCTAAGAGAGATGAAAACTTTTGGTCCTCTTTTTTCTGTGCTCCAGTGCCTTATCTGTAAAAGAAGGATAACATCAGTCTTCAGACAGGATTATAAATATATATTAATATTTATGAATTATTCATAAGCATTTTTAATGAACATGACCAAACAACGACAACAACAATGGATATAATTAACAATTTGGTCCTCCCTAACAGGGTTTGGAATAGCTTTTTTGTGCTTAAATTAGTGGCTTACTGAAATATGCCAGTGTCATGCAAATGAAATTGTTTTCAAAGTTCACCCTGAATACAAAATGGGAGAATTACGCTTATTTTTATAATAAGTCAGTTGCAAATATGTACAATCGTTAGTTGAAGGGACAGCAGAATTAATGCTAATGTTGCTTGGAAGTGTAAGTGAAGAAAATGCTTCTTGTTTGGCTCTTACTGAGTTCAGCAAGACACAACTTCATGACTGTCACTCTTCCTAAATGAAAAAGATTGTATTGTATTAATGAAATGCTTGATTCCGTCACTAGTCTGCCGTTTTAAAGGGAACACCCTGAAGATGCATTGACTGATCTCTTGGCATGAAAGCAGACAGCCTTCTGGAAAATGAATATGAAACTAAATATTAAATTGCTGCTCATTAAGTGGCACTACACATTGTTTACTCTGACCAAAATAAGGGTTCTGGGTACTGAAAACAAAATTGAGTTCATATAATATACATGTATATCATAATACAGCTACAAATTATGAAAGTAACTGTTACAGCAGCAATCTTTATTCTGTCATTCCTTAATTTTTTTTTTCCCCTCTCTACTAATGTTTTTTCAATTCTATGCGTACATCAAGATATCAGGAAGAGGATCACTACATAAACTGAGATCAGCACAGTACACATTGTCCTCAGAGACCTCAATCCCATACGGAGTAAGAGATTCCACATGAACCTTTATGAACTCATAGATAGAAGATAATTCAAAGGGAGGAACTAAACTACTGAATTCAAAACCACTCCCTAGTACTTCTAACTGTATTAAAAGAAGAATTATTGATGAGATTTGCAAAACAGGGTGGAGAATATAATTGGAACTCTTCCATTACAATTAGTTAAATTCCAGTTGGTCACAGTATTTCAGCCACAGATTCTACCTCATTAAAGAAAAACAACAACAAAAACGGAATGGAGATATATCCATTTTCATAACACTTTCCCTTGGACATTTCTTGTGGTCATTTCTGACCAGAGAAAGAACGAAAGAACGAAAGGAAGGAAGGAAGGAAGGAAGGAAGGAAGGAAGGAAGGAAGGAAGGAAGGAAGGAAGGAAGGAAGGAAGGAAGGAAGGAAGGAAGGAAGGAAGGAAGGAAGGAAGGAAGGAAGGAAGGAAGGAAGGAAGGAAGGAAGGAAGGAAGGAAGGAAGGGAGCAAAAGATGCGTAAATCTTTGAACAACAGTGATCAAAAATATCATCATATTTTAACCAGATAAAATGCTCTAAAGTTCATGAAATCACTATTGGCCTAGCAACTCGCTACAATTTTGTTTCAGAATAGGACAGAAGGAATTAATGATGAACAAAATTCTGATCCCAAATCATTAAATGTCCATTGACCAGCTTTAATTTTATGTAAAGCAGTGTAAACTCCAGAGTAAATAGTGAACAAACATTTCTAGAACAGTAAAATTCCTATTTAGGAAAGCTCCCAAGCCTATCTCCTGTCCTACAAAGTAGTACACATATAATCTTAATAACAGGCTTAACAGTGATTGAAGTCAAGGGAACTTTTGCATGGATGTAAAGTTGTTGGAATATATGGCTGTGTGATTTACTAGTTCACATTCTCTGTTTGCAGCTGGGTATGGCTGGACAACAGATACAGAGATAAAGATTATATTTTATTTTATTTTTATTTTTGTAATTCTAGATCTAAACAGTACCAGAGATTAATTAGGACAACACTGGCTAGAGAGGAAGAAATAAATTTAGGTTGCTTTACAAGTAACAATGTCCTAGACATAAACTTACACAAGGAATAATTAATTCAATATATTTTGTCTTCTTTTCTCACAGGCAGGGAAAAGAAATGATAATTTGTTTTAAGACGAAGAAATTAGCCTTTTAAGATGATCTAGTGTAGGGACCACCCTACTGAAACTTCAGTAGAAGGTTTCAGAGCAGTTTTCTGAGTACATTTAGACTAGAAGGACCACATTTAGATCTCATGAAATCTCATGAAATATGTATTTAAGGAAAGTAAGTCAGAAGTCTAAGCTTATGTTAATGCAGCTTACACCATAGGATCAGAAGAAGGTGCAAGTTCTGCCAGCTTAGACTCTCCTTTAAGTTTGGTCCATTAATTGCAACGAAATAAATTAAATACAAGAACTTCTTCCAGTTCCCATAAGAACTGTTCCACTCCTATAAAACATCTACCATCTACATGGCAATATTTGAATGATCAAGTCAGATTATCCACATTCATGGCAATCTCGAAGCAACTTTTACAATATATAGTGCAATGTAGAGTATTAGCCCACAACAAGATCATTGTAAGGGACAAATAATTCTTTGAATAGTCCCATCTTTTATCAGAGTTCTTCATGGAACTAGACTTGCATAGGAGCACTCATGGTAAAGCCTCAAAAAAGTTACTGAGTATGTAATGAAAAGGGCAGATTGAGGATTCATAATCATCCATTAAAACTGCCCAGAATGAAAAATAATTAAAACTACACAAAAAACAATGGACTACAGAAGTGCTTTTGGTATGCAGTACATCCAGCTTTGCAATCTATGCAACATTCAGCCTTGCTATCTGTTGTGGAAATTTAAACAGATGTCTTGGTATGAGGGCATCTTTTAAGTTAACTTAATTTAGTGATCTCCTTACTACAGGCTCTCTGAGGAATTAATGATGTGGGGTTTTCTTTCTTTCTTTCTTTCTTTCTTTCTTTCTTTCTTTCTTTCTTTCTTTCTTTCTTTCTTTCTTTCTTTCTTTCTTTCTTTTTCTTTCTTTCTTTCTTTCTTTCTTTCTTTCTTTCTTTCTTTCTTTCTTTCTTTTTTTCATGTGTATTTTCAAGCTTCATGTGTGGGAGACTGCCAAAAGGTATTACTAATACAAATGAGATGAAGATGCTCTTTCTTAAGAACTTGAAAACCTCATTCCCAATGCAGAATTTTGTATCATGATTACACATTCATGTGTTAATAAAATAAAAATGAAAATGCTTGACCCACAAGATTTGTTTCCTTCTGAAGCTGGGACAAAAAATTGCTCTACTCTGGGTCTTGCTCAGATACCAGTTTGATGCCTGAGAACCATGCTTAAGGCTGCTATAATGTATGGTTTTTAGAAGCATACATTCCAAGGACACACCAAGAATGCAAGATTGTCCCTCGTCCTGCACATCTTCCCTAAGCACGGATTTGATTCTACAGGAAACCCTGCTGAATGATTACCCTTAGGGAAGGATAGCAAAATGATTATTCTTACATAACTTAGTTTAATTACAAAGCATTCTGAAGCGAGAAATCGCTTAAAAGTCTCTGTAAGTAATATTAGAAGAAGCTTAATCATATAAAAATTCAATGAACAAAGGGAAAATTAAAACTTGCCTGACCTTTCTTGCAGCATATCAAAGCTTTCTAAGTTGTCTAGTCATTTCATAAAACAAGAACTAGGAAAAAAAGAAATAAAGTTCTCTGGTGTTAGCAACAATTTTTATTTTCACTTTGATTTTCTGATGAGGTTATACATGATCTCTAATAAGCTGTCCTCAAAGCCAGAGGACTGAAAGATTCTTTTTTGCAGATTGTGTCTTGTTAAAGGCTGCTCTTTAGCCAGCCTCCATACCCATCTTGGGAACAGCTTTTCTCCAAGGACTTGCAAATATTTGTGAAGAAAAGTTATTATTTCTAGTGCTCATTTGTGCAGACTATTGAGTTTTTCAGCTACAAATAGTATTAAGAAAACCTTAGTAAGCTTTCTGTCATGAGAGGTTGCCTTGGAAGACTTTGTCTGAAGAAACTATTCAACAGTTACCACTATACAGTATAAGCAATAGTGCAGGACCAGCAAGGGTTTCTATATTTGTAATAGCAGTCTCTTTCTTTATTATTATTTTTTTTATTTAATTGGCTCAACAAACACTAATCTAAAGTTAAAATCAGTATTATTATGCCTGTATTGTTAGTGGGGAAGAAGAGTTATAGGATTTCATGGCCAGCCTATCTCTAAGGAATGAGCCATTACCGGAACTGAGGCGAGAGTCAAGAGACAAGAGCCTCTCTCTTCTGAGCACAGGTCACTGTTCCAAAAGAAGCTCTCTGCTGACCTGTGGTGTCACATACCTACCTACATCTTGCCAGCAGTTCATTTGAAATATCTAAACTGCAGATGCATGATCGCTGCTGGCTGAGCCAGGGTGGGTCTTTCCCAAGAAGCACGTTCTCATCCTTCTCTGGCCATCTAGCGCTTCTGCTCCCTCAGCCAAGGCCAATGCTTATATGGCCAGGTGAAAAGGAAGAGATTTTTTTTGGACATTGTGTTTGTGTTTGGTGGGATACCTTCCAGACGAACCAGTTCCCTGATCCAGCTGTCCACATGGCTGCTTGAGTGCCTGCACTGGATAATGGGAGGCAGCAGGGCTGGGTTCAGGGATGACTCTCTCAGTGACGACTCTCTCAGGGACAGCTCAGTTTTAGGTTGGTTTAAGCTGGACATGAAACAACACCCTTACCTCTGAGAACCAGAGCGTCACAGAACCATATGGTTTAATGAACAACAATCTAACCAGTACACAAAAAGTACAGAATAATCCAAGAAAAGACTTGCCAGCTGCTTTCAAATAGGTTGAGCAAGTTGCATGATTGTTTACTGCATCACTAAACATCTATTCTTAAACTGCTGATTGGCAGTTTTATGTATCTAGAAAGATACCTTTTCGTTTCTCCCCCCAGAATAAAAATTTAGTTCAAAACACCGCAATGTGTACTTTTCACTGATAGGAGATTGCAGTGCACGTTGTTTATTTGTTTGCCTGTGTAGAGAGCCATTTTGCATAAATCAGTGCAGAGAAATAGAGGATATTTTTATTACACAACTAAGTTTTCCAAAAACGTCTCAATTTCTTGTTCAGGAAATGGTACCATTGTTTACTTGAAACAGATATGTTGATTAAGTGGCCTGGAGGAATTTTGTTTAAAGATACAGGCTAGCTATCATTGTGAGTAACAGTGTTGCATTGTTCATGACAACAGCAATTAGGAAGATGTTTTGATCTAAGATAATTAGCAAAAATGGCAAAAAGCAATTCCAAAAATTGACAACTTTTGCAAATGTTGAAAGATGAAATTGGTCCAGCTGACGGGACAAATTTCAGATTTCTCAAAAATGTTGCTTAATACCAACAAGAAATTAACTATGAAGAATCTGTAATTTCCATGGTATTAACTGAAATGCATTTCATATGCCAATTAGGAGGCCTGACAGAGTGCTATGTCAACATCTTAAATCCCTCACATTTGGTTATCCTGTAGTCAGATTACTGGGATATTGATGACCAGAAAGACTACTCTCAGTCCCTTTTCCCATGAAATGCCCCACCGAATCCTGCCCATTGCTTTTTCCCAACAACAGTATCGATAACATTTCTACCTTCCATCCCATCTCCCCAGCCTCCACTGTTCCCACCTCCTCAAAACCTCTATGGACATTCCTTCCCTTCCTTTTTCCCACTTAGTTCCCTGAAACCCATCATTCCCCAACCCACTGGACTTCCCACCAAACCCTCCTGGCTCTCCCTGTTGTGTCTTGTGCTCCTACTTACCCAGGGACCCATTATGCTCCATTTGCAAAATTAAATTCTGTTGTTCCAGAAATAATCTATTTTCAAATTAGATCTAATTTTGTGTGTATTACTGAAAGGGTAAGTATAAGCCAATTTAAGAGGAGAAAGACAAAACATTTTACAATTGTATTACAATACCCAGCACACAACACCCAAGACATTTGTCTTGAGCAGGGTCACATTCCCATGCTTTCCATATCTAAATAAACAAATGCTTTCACCCACCGTGGAGCAGAACTGACCTGTTCCACCATAGCACATGCCGATGCATCACCAGACAGCAGCTCAAAATCTCTGCTCTATGCAGATTTTGCTGTTTGCAAGATAGGATGAGCGAGAGGCTTGTCAAGCAGCTAGTTGTGGTTCCAGATTCTCCAGCTAATTCAGTGCTTGTCTGGACAGCTCTAAACGATACCAGCTGCTAATAGTCCCCCTCGGGATCATTTTCTAATTGCAGATTACCAGACACAGCAGGGTATCCCTTTCTTCTCCGGGGGTAATCCTTGTGCTGGGGTGGAGGGAAGGAGATTTATGAACCAAATATGCAAGTCTCAGCTGAGAACTGCTTGAATGGTAGACACAACAAATAAGCTGGTGACTGCTTGAACAACTCATTGTGCTTTTGTGCTCTTTCATGCAGGGAATCCAACTTTCACCATGCTAAGAAGCAGCCTGTTAATTCAGCACTGTGGGTGTTACACACCAGGATGGCTTCACTGCAGTTTATTCCAGTGATTGGTATCTGGGCTTACGCTAATTCAGAACTGTGAAGTTGTATCAAGTTCATGTTTCTGTGTTGTCACTTGTACTGAACTTACTTATCTGGTCCATCTCGCTTAAGGAAGACTATCTCATGTTTTTTTCCCACACCACAAATCTGATCATCAGGTCCTTGGTGTGTTACAGAGATGCAAAGAACCTGAAGCTCCGGTCTGTAAGTTTTCGACATTATTTCAAATGAGGAAGTGTTAAAAGCAGTGGCAATCCTTGAAAAATGTAATCCTTGCTAGTGACCTCTTTTTATTTCTCACCAAAAATATTTTGGATATTATAACGTGGGACACTATTTTTTCTTACTTATCTTTGGGAAGTGCAGAAATTCTGCAGACTGATGACGAAACACAGAGTAAGACTTCAAAACCCAAGATCAGCTGTGTGGTTTGGCTCTTCAAAGTCACAAAACCTTCCAGAAAATCTTTTTACCGTTGAGACCCATCTCAACTGTATCTCTATAAAGTATTATCAGTCTTAGACTGCTACCTAACTCTCGTGTGAAGAATTTTTCACACCTGTTGCTTGTGACAGGATTTTCTTAACCTGTCACTAGGTGGCAACACAGCTACTCGCATCGCTGCGCTGCTTCGACCTACTCCTACCTGCGGAACTCTGCTGAGATCCACAGCTGAGAATTTCACATCAAAAATGTCTTTTCTTCCTACAAAACCCGTGCTCCGGTGCTAGCTTTGATAGTCACTTGTCGAATAGATTTGAATGGACGATTCTGAATGTCACTGCGAGGGGAGCAGCTGATGCTGTTTGCAGCAATACAGCTTTGTTTGTCTCCCTTGGCTAGAGGGGTCATTGTGCACTGGAGAGCTGAGTGTGGTACTGCAATCACTCTCAGTCCTAACACAGACAGTCCCTGATTTTGAACCACTGAAGCCAATGGGAGGTTTGTCACAGTTTTGTACAGGATTTGGTCTTTAGTACTGACGTTTAACAACAGCGGCGTATACCAGAATATTATTTGCCCAGGTTGGATTAAACTGACCTTCTGAAAAGTGTCTCAAGAGCAACAGGTATCCTCAAGTTTTGTTCTCTCAGGTACAATGCAGGCTGAAAACAATCAAACAAACAAAAAATGGATTCAGTAACATGTAACTCATACAATGTCAAAAAAAGCTGACTTGTTTTAACTTGCAGGCAATCTTCAAAACAATCTATCATTTCAAAGTGGTTTTGAGATTCCTAAAAACTGCAATGATCTCATGTAACCATGACTCTGTTAGCTACAGTAAAGGGTGGTGTAATTTCAAGAGGCGATAATGCTGTGACTACCTAATATCAAAGGTGTTTTTCCTCATTTCACTGAGATTAATATTTTACAGCCCCCTTTCATTTCACAATGCTGCCAACACCCTGCTCTTCTTAGAGTCATAGTTCACTGCTTTCATGTGATTCTGATGGGGCCGTTTCCAAGCATGTATATACTGGATTACCAGCTGAACATATTTTCTTCCCTGCTTACTCAAATGGTGTCACCAGATTGTCTTTCAAGGAGCCTATAAATATAAATATATATATATATATTCAAGTCTCACCAACTGAAATGTGAAGCTCACGTACTTGACTTCTCCCTTCTGCTTCTCTGGAGACATTCACCCTGCAGCCCCACAGCTTCGCTCCCACTGCATGTAGCAAATGCAAGTAACTGCGACCAACTGTTTTCTTTAAGTAAAGAAGGTAAATGACATCCATATTTAGGTCTTGCAAGAAATTTCTTTGACAACAGGTGAGAAGGTCTTGTCAAGTTATGGGAGTTAGAACATGGTGGAGCTGAAACATGGGAGAAGGGCTATGGGGCTGTCGCCTCCCCCTTAATGCCGTGCTAGAAGGAGCAGTATTCAACAGAAGTACATTGGGATATTACAGATTGTGTTAAAATATACTTTGATTTTTTTTTCCCTAAAGCTTCTGGGTTAAAATATATATATATATATATTCTTTTAATAACTTTTTTTATTTATTAGAGTCTTCTAACCAGAGTTCAGGACTTGTTATTTCGGATTAGCCCACACATTCATTTGCTTCAGTATCATTTTTTTTTTTAACATTGACCACGATGAGAAACTTCAGAAGGCAGCAGAGGAAATCCTGTCCTTACAGACATTTGTACTCCAATATCATATTTTAAAAGAAATGTTGATGCTCTCCTGTCTTTTGCTGCTGGAGCCCAGCCTCACTTTTTTTTTTTTTTTTTTTTTTTTCCCTCTGAGCCTTTCTCAATCCAAAAGAAGACAACAAAAGGTGATGAAAAAGTCTTTGTGGTGAATCCCAAGAATAGGATATCCCCCAGGCAATGTGGTTAGCGCGAAACCAAGAAAAGCGTTTAATTCTGTAGATATAATCCAGCCCTTTCAGCAAGTGAATCCTATTAAAAACTCATCTTTAAAATAAAAAACGATTGTTAAACGGGGCTATCGCTAGATTTGGACACCAAATCCTGTCAGGATTTGTCCATGGGCATGGCAGCCCTCGCCCCCCTGCACCACACGGGGCTCGTTTCCTCAGGGCTCCCCCACCTCATGTTCTCTCCCCTCGACCTCCAGTGAAAGAGAAGAGGAAGAAGAAGAGGAAGAAGAAGAGGAAGAAGAAGAGGAAGAGGAGGTGGAGGTGGAGGAGGAGGAAGGTGGCGGTCCCCCCCCTAGGAGCCCTCTGAGGGCCTCGCTGCCAGGCGCCGCCCGGCGCTCAGGTGCTCGCTGTCGGGGCGGGCGGAGGGGAGGGGAGGGCAGGGAGATGGCGGGGAGGGGTCCCCATCGCTTCACCTCCTCCCTCCGTGCCCCTGGGCGGGCCGGGGGGAGCTGAGTGGAGGAAGCCGGCGTCAGTCAGGGGCAGGGCGAGGCCGGGCGGCGGGGGATGGCGGCCCCCGCCCGGAGCTGGGGCTCCAGTCGTGGAGAGCGGCGGCACCATGCGGGCGGCCGCCGGGGTAGGAGCGGGGCTGGGAGGGGAAGGCACCTGCTGCCCGCCGGGGGCTGCGGGCGGGGGGCTGCCCCCTCAGGGCTTCTCTGAGCGAGGGGTGGGGGTCTCTGATTCCTCTGCTTCTTCCTAGGAGGTGGCGGCTGTCCTCTGCCTGCTGGCCCTGGCGGCGGCGCTGGATTTCGGGTACCACCACGCCGAGGAGCTGGAGGCGTACCTGCGGGAGGTGCACGCCGCGCACCCGGCCCTCACCCACCTGCACAGCATCGGCCGCTCGGTGGAAGGTAGGTGCGGGCGGCACCGGCTCTTTTGGGGTCGTGAAGTCCCCCGGAGGGTCCCCGCAGCTTGGTGCCGTGGCCTCGGGTGGCGGCGGGGCTGCTAAGTGCCGGGTGCCTCTGCTTCAGCCTCTCCTCAGTTTCCTCTTCCTCTTGCTTGGACGTGAGTAGCAAACCCCGATGGCACCTACGGCTCGGGTGGGAGCTCTCCCGACACCTAACTCCTGCTCTTCGAGACCGAAACCTCGGCGGAGTGGCAATTTCAGAAGCAGGGAGGCTGCTGAGCTTGGGGTGTCGCTGCCCCGCTGCCAGGCACCCGCTCGAGGTGCGGCTGTGGTGGCAGCCTGTGGTCTCCAACTTGTCCCTAACTGCGTTAAAGAAAGGATCATCCCATCCCGCTTTAGCTGTTTGGCTAAAGCTGGGCTGACTAGATAGAAAAAGGATTTCAAATTCCATACCGGAATCCGGTTTTAAGTAAAAAAACTGGGATTTCAGTCTCAAACCCTATAAGAGAACAGCTCAAGCCTTTCTAGTCTCATATAGGTGTTTTGACTTATCTATGATTGGAACTTCTTTACAGTAATTTTATGGAGGAAAAAAAAAAGCTTTTTCTCTCCCTTGAAGAGATTAGAAAGGTTAGTAACTGTTAGCATTTACTTATTATACTTTAATCTTTTTTTTTTTTTAGTTTTCAGTGGAAAAAAGTTATGTAGAATTCAAAAAAAATGCTTTTATATGATGTGTAAAACTAGATCACTCTTTAGAAACATCATTTGTTCCTCTAATCGTACTTCATAGGCACTACAATAAGGCCAGATGAAACTTGTTTTACTTTTTTTGTTAGTTCTTGGTGTTTTTTTTGTTTGTTTGTTTTTAAATCTATGCTCTTCTAGGTAGATAAATGTGAAGAGCACTAGTAGCTTTTATCTCTTCACACATCCTTCCTTGTGTTATTGTGTCTTCAATTTCTTCTTTAAATATGCACTCCTACTTGTCTGAGGCATAACTTTTCTTTGGAAAGGGTCTGGTCAGTTTCAGTGAGGTGTCAAACAGCTGTCTTGTTGCTGTGGATGTGTAACCTCCTCTCTGCAGGTCCACACTTCTTTCTAAGAAAGTCTCATTATTATGGGAAGACTCAAACTAGACAAGGAATCTCAAAGTTAGTTAAGTCGTGTTCCTCTTGCTTTCATCAAAGGCAGAATCCTATTAAAATATGTTATTCACCCACACAAGAGAAGGCTACTCCCTTTGTGTACGGTTTCCTCAAGTACAAACTACTAATTATCAACATCTCCATGTTCCTACCTTGAGGGGACTTAGATAACTTTTTTTTAACCACAGGGCTAGATTTTGATTTCTCTGGTGTAAATTCTGTAGAGTTCTGTGAAATATGTTAAAGGATGGAACTGAGCTAGGGTCTTATTTTCTTTGCTCATATTGGGGAAAAAAAAAAAAAAGCTCTTAACAATGGTGACTATGTAATTTTGGTAAAAATTAAACTTCAGTTTTGGCCAACATGCTGAAGTTCTAGTTCTTTTCTTAGTTAAGCTGTTGAATGTGCATATGCATGTACATACACTAGTATGGATTTACTGGTGCATCCCACTAAGTTGTCCAACCAATTAGCTAAACCCTGATAGCAAAATTATGGAGAAGAAACAGAAAATAATATTTAAATATTATAAAGCTGAGAATGTCATGTAGTAAGTCTTCTTTTCAACCCTTGATACATCTGATATGGAGATTATAGATGATAAATACAAAATTGTATGGACTGGCGTGGTGTCTGTAAGGACACCAGACGTGACTTTGGTGTTACTGTGAATGACCATTGTTTTAATTTTATTTTTTCTTTAGTCTAGGTTTCATTCTAATCTTTTTTAACAACCTAGCATTATATACTGTCATCAAGGTTTGGATTATGAAGAAAGTGAACTGAAAGCTTGATTTTATTTGTTTCTGGCTGGTGTAGACCTGGAGCTCTGCAAGGCTATAGGGTCCCCCCTTGAAGCTTCAATGTGGAGGGGTAACAGGGATCTCTGTACCACCACTTCAGGAGGTGGTTGCTTGTAGTTCTTTATCAGGAATATCTAAACGTTCTTCATGATGGAAGTCTCACATGTTCCATGCAGATTATGGAATAATTGAGGTCTGGAGGCTGTCTAACTTGAGGCCCTGTTCAAAGCAGGGCTAGCTTTAGAACTAAATTATGATGCTCGGAGCATTCTCCTCTCGAGTTCTGACTGCCTGCAAGCATGGAGGTCCTGTAGGATCTCTGGTACCTGATCCAGTGCTTATCTACCTTTGCTGTGAGAATGTATTTTCTTGCATCTGATTAGAATTTGCTTTGCTGTGTCTTTTTGCTGTGCACCTCTAAGAAGGGCCTGGGTCCATCTTCTCTAGAATCATCCTTTAGGTAGTGGGAGGATGTAGCTGTGTGGTTCTCCACGTTAAACAAACCGACTTTCTCCAGCCTCTCCTCAGGTCTAGTGTGCTTCAGCCTTGTAATCATCTCAGCAGCTTTCTGCTGGACTTCCACCACTGTGGTGTTGTTCCTCTTGCACTGGGGAACCCATAGCTGGGCATGGTACTCCAGTTGTAACTTTACTAGTGCTGACTGGGGGAGAATAATTATTTCCCTTTAGCTGCTGGTTTATGTTTTTGATGATGCAGCCCAGCATAGAGGTTCCTTTTCCGCTGCAAGAGCACGCTGCTGGCTTGTGTTCATCCTTCTGTCCCCATGGACACCCCGTCAACTCCTAGCTTGCAGATCTGCAACCTGCCTCATCAGTCTGCAGCCTGTGCAAGCATTGGGTTAGTTTCTTGGGTTGATAATCGCAATGTGAGGCACTTCTGTCCCAGGAGGAGGACTTTGCGTTTTCCCTTGTCAAACTTCAGGAGTCTTCTGTTGAGAAATTCCTTCAGCTTGTCGAGGCCCCTCTGAATGGCAGCCTCAGTACTGACTCCTGAGGAACAGTGCTGATAACTTGCTGCCACTTGACCCCCCAACTGACCGCTGGTTGATTGCTCAGTCTAACAGCCAGTTTCTGACATTCTTGTAGTCTACTGATCTAATCCATATGTTCCTCACTTGTGTGCAAAGATACTTTGAGGGATAGTGCTGAAAGCCTTGCTAAGGTCAAGGTTAAAGAAAGCTAGTACTCGCATCCCTCCCACTGAGCTTTCATTTATCATGCAAAGCTAAGCAGTCAAGTACAATTTGCTGTGGATAAATGTGAGGTGAGATTTAGAAAGCAGGTTTATTTGATGTACATCAACAGCGAGGTACAAAACAAAGCCAGTACCAAGAGCTTCACTGGAAACCAAGGTAGCCCAATCTGTTTTGTGATTTATATCACCACATGGAAATTCACAGCTTCTCTGTTGGATTTCTGGGAAGATTTCTAGACTAGCAATGACCTGTTCATTCTTCAAGTGCTTTGGAAGTTATCTCCCAAGCTATTATAGGGAAATTCCATGAGATAAATAATGAAATACAGGTAGAGAGGAATCCTTAAAGAAGATGTAATGCAGTGGCTGACTAAACTGAGAGTTAACTGTTAACAAAAAGATAACTAATTTGGTAGGTCTAAGAATAGGCGGGCAGTCTGATTTCCTGATATTCCTGCAAAAGGAACACTAGTTGCTTCAGTTACTTCTGACGTGGTGTCTAAACACAGTGGAAAAAACTTCAGCAATGGTATCAAAGGTAATAAATCCTCAATACCTGGCAAGGATATCTGGCTCATGCAGGCTGAACATCAGGCGCTGTGTTCTGGGCTGCTTCCACGTATGACTAATGGTGGCTTTTTCTTTACAAGTTGGAAGGAAAAAAAGCTCCTGAAACCTGGTATTGACAGAGCTGGCTATTCACAGGCTAGTCAATAGCAGCTGACAGTTCTCATAAAGGCTGTGTGAAGAATCCACTTATTATGCAATTAAGTTCTAGAAAATACTGGTTCCTCCCTTCCCAGAGACCCGTCCATACAGCTACGAGAGGCTTGTGTCTGCCAGGAGGAGCTCTGCTTCCCTCACAGGGTTACTTCAGGCCAAACAATGGAAACGTGGGATGGCTCAGGGTAATATCCCAGTTCTTTGTCTCTGATGCCTTGTTAAATAAGCTAGTAAAAGGTCTTTGGCAGGAGCTGCCTTCTGTAATCTGTGCAATGTTTGACCTCAGCACAGTATGTGTGCTGTATGATGATAGGGGTGGCTGCAGAGCTGTGTCAGCCTGGAGGATGGGACCTGGTGTAGTCATAATTCACCTGGCCTGCCTAGTACCAGCCTCATCAAAAACAGGCTGACTACAGCAAGCAGAGCTTACAACGCACATTATTAAAAAGAAGATACTTAAATGTGGGTGGTGTCTGTGGTGCTTCATTGAACACACTTTTTTTTTTTTT